TGGCTATGTCTCCTGCTGTTTGTTAGCGGCTTATTGCTTAGAGTTACCAGTTCCTGAGCTCTGCTTGCTTAACTTCTCTGACTGCTTGCTTACCTGCTACCTCACGTCAAAAACCTTCTCGGTAGCAGGAACTGGGTAGTGTTCCTCATTTTACAGAATAAGCTTAGAGAGCAATTAGACAAGCAGTTAAACAGTTGTAAGTGAATGGGAAGCACCACCTCCCAGAAGAGAGGGACAGTAATGAGCAGCTGGAAGGGGAATTCATCACTCTTCACCCATATCACCAGCAACCGGAAAATTTCCTCACACTGTCCCTTCGGGACCGTCACAAAGGCAGGCACTGGAGGATTTGCCTTCTGCATTTTAAAATTTTACTATCTCTAGTTCTCTGCAGGAGAATACTGTCCCTATAGCCATTGCCCCAGGACATTATGGGCTGCATGCCTGTACCTCAGCTGGCCTAGCTTTGAGCCCTACAGCCCAGTCTAATAATTAAGCTTCCAGTGGAGCAGGTGAGGACAGCATAGCCAGATGAAAATCAAGTGGATCTAGAAGTTACTGCCTACTGCTGTCCTCACAGCCCCTCTGGTGCGGGTGGCACAGCTGCTTGAAAAACAGCTGCTGCATTGCCAAAAACTGTGCGCCACTCGTAAAAAGAGGAGGAAGAAAACTGGTGGGGCAGGGGAAAAAAATCTCTAAAAATTTTTTTGTCCCCTTTGCTCCCAAACTGCTGTTTCGAAACTTTCCTGCGTTCATGGCTAGAAGCCCTTTTCTAGGTTTCAACCTAGATGTATTCATAGGCAGATTATGCCCACAGGGTTACTATAAACAGGATCAAATTCAGGATCTAATCAATTCAAGTAAGATTACATATGGGCTTTCAGCATTCAAAAAACAAAACGCAGCTATGTATAGATCCAAAGGTCCAAACTGATTTCAAGAACATGTCACCTCCTTCTAAGCACTCCACTGTGGGGAGGCAGAATCTGAGCTCTTCCATCACTTCACAAGAACGTATTTTTTAGCAACTAAGTACACTAAGTGTGTTGTGTATATCATCATCCCTGTTTCACTAGGGCGCTCAGTTCCTCAGTCCTGTAGTAGATTTACATTGAAGAAAGCCTTAGTAAATGAAAATTTTCCTCAGCTTCAAAATGAGAGACAAGTTACTGAACAATGAGCCCCATATTCACTTCAGAAGCACTGCCAAACACAATCCTGTGTGGAACAAGAGAGAAATCCTGCCGTATCAGGACTCAGCTGGCTTGGGTTAACAGCATAGTTTCACATGGCAATTAATAAGCCAGATGTGGAAGGTAATTACCATTGAATATGCTGTTGGCGATAGCACCGCACGGAGCCATTGGCGTTCCATTTCGGTAAGTCGTGAAAGGCGCACAGTAGCTCTTCTGAATCTGCATTCAAGGTCACAGAACAATTAGGCACAGAATCTATGGGATTTTGTTTTGATTTGCTGGTGTTAATGTTTTCCTCTCATTTCCTCTTCTGAAAAGCCACCGATTAATTACAAATCTCCAGTACCTTTTGGTCACACTAGAGATGCATCCAAACGAACGAGTCTGTAGTGGAGGAATGTCTTCTATAGCATAGCAGGCACAGTAAGTAAACTTAAGATCTTCATCAAATTCCGCTCCAAACTTGCAAACTCTAGACCACAAGCACTCATTTTGGGACCTGCCCTGGCAACATAGCTGCAATTTAATATGCTCCATTGCAGCCCTGACTTACCCTGCAACATCTTATTTTTCTTTCTTTTAAATTTTGACCCAGACTGCTTCAGGGATGGAGAAGAGCAGATGCAGTTAGCCACAGTATTACAGTTCTGTGTGAGGAAACCTTGACACATGCATGCACAGAATGAAAACAAAGGTTCATCTCAAATTTATCACCTCTCTACTACCCCAATTCATGAGAAGCTACAAATCTTCAGATTAGAGGACCCAAACAACATTTCCAAATAATTCTGGTAAGCTGTGCATCTGACTGACACAAAAGCCAAAACCCATTGCACCTGAATGCAAATGAACAAGCTAGCTGGACACCTGGAGAAGCAGTTGTGTGAGGAACACGTCTTGAGAGCTACACGAAACATTTCATAAAAACAACAGATTATGATGGGACAGCTATGTCAACTGACAGGACAGTGCATGGACCATATATATTTTAACAAAAGCTACTTTTTGGCTAAAGGAAACACGTTATAGATTTGTAACTAAAACCCAGAACTAGTGCAATGATTACAGTGTCCAATTTCTTCATGCAGGCATACTGCAGCTGTTTCCTGTTCAAACACATAAATTACATATTTTGGAATGGTACAGGATCACCTGTTTCACCTTATACCTTTTCCTACTCCTCGTCCACTTCCAAAGCCAGATGGCAAAATGAAAGATTTAGAATAAATTAATTCCCTAACCCAAATAAAACCACATCTCCAAAGAATAAAACTGCTATCTAAGAAAAATGAAAAAACACTAGAAGGAAAAGCTTCATGTAATTTTATTTGAAAATGACGGCTTTTTTAATCACCATCCCTAAAAGGTGCAGGCTAGGGACCTGCAACGTTGGACTGACATCTTTATTTATTATTTTATTTATTCCTCTCTTATCAACTTATTACAAATGGGCCCTAGCAACCACAAAAGCAGAGACCAAACACTGAAAATCTGTACCTTCTTATTATTCCCTGGAGTCATCTTGACACACTTATAGTTATGCTTAGGAGCTCTCCATACAGTGGAAGACCCACCTGATGAAAATACTGACGATCTCATAATATAAGGAAGAAAACTTACATCTACATCTCGACCCAACAATTGTGCATCACTTCTTGATATCACGTATCGACGGTGGTTCTGATAAAAGTTTTGCAGGCCATAGTACATAAAAACATCACCCTAGAATTCAAGGACAGATCCTTTTAATTAAATAAGTTTAAGTAGACAAGAGAAATTCTATCACCCACTAACAAAGGAAAGGGAAAGGGAAAGGGAAAGGGAGTGTTGATAACTACATTCCAGACACACTGTCTAAAATCTATGCCTTACCCCCCTGAAAGTCTCTGGGCTGTGGCACAAATTTAAACATACTTTAAATCCCCTAATGAAACATTAAAAAAAAAAAGCATGATTATTATTTTACTCAAGATGGTAATAACTGGCCATGACCCTGCAATAATTTCATGAAGGCACCTGTTTTCCATAAAGGCAAGGTGCCCAAACAACTTCAAAAACTTGATTAGCTCCTTAATTCCATTTGAAAAATAAGGCTGCCTACCCTACGTTGTTTGAACCCTTTGGAAAGTTTAGCCCTGTAATTTAAAGGAGAAGACTAGGCAGGCAAATATAAGCTGGAAAGAGGATTATTAAACTATCCTAAAATCATAATTCAGTTAAATAATCTTCTCATCTCAAACATTACTGTGGCTTAAGGATCACTCACAGAATATTTTAACAGCCTCTTCAATACTGAAGAACTGTAAAGTGACTTTGTAATTTAAATCACACTGTAATTTTAAGGGATCATTTATGCAGTACTAAGCATAAGATCTCTTTGGCAGAACATAAGGTTTTTTAAGAACATCAGCAACATTACCCAGCAGTTTAGGACAGGAAATGAAGGATACTTTTTCCAACTGAAACAGCGGAATGACATTACTTGCCTTGAAACGTACCAAGGACCTTAGAGATTAACAGTATAACCCCTGTAAAAAAGGGCTGTGGAGGCTTACTTATAACAAGTGCTCAGAGCTCCAGTTTTATTTCTCATTTGAGAGCTTAGCAGCGCACTAACAACTAACATCAGGCCAAGTGCAAGGGTTTGCTACTGACTCAGAGAGAGAGAGGAATCACCTCCTGAATCAACAGCATTTCCTCCATCCCCTAGTCTTGGAGATATCCTTGGATCCTTGGAGATATCCCTTGGTAGCTCTTTTTTAACATGTGCCAAAATCAATAGAAAAGGCAAAAGTATAAAATTTTGAGTATTTCATGTTCGTGAAAAGTACAAAGAAAAGAGCAGTCAGGAGCTCTACACTCTACAGAGAAGAATTTATGTATTTTATCACACAAGGATATATGTAACAAGAGGTACTAAGCAAGTTGAGCAGGATTCTTAACATCCACTTACCAGCATATCTTCCTTTAGCATGAAGTCAACAGAACAGTAGCAGTCATTATTCCAATTAGAGGAATTTTCACGGAGTTTTGAACAATCCGAGCATTTATCTGAATAATTAATCTGTGAGAGAAGTGAACAAGCACAGAATATTGTACTAAAGGACATGAATATAGGAAAAGATTAATGTTTTAGCTTCAACAGTTCTCGGAGCAGCTCTCTTCTAAAAGTTGTGGACTGCCAAAAACGTTAAAAAAAAACAACCAAAAAACACAGCAAAGGCATAGAGAATCAGGATTTGGACTCATCACTTAGACTGGGACATTCACAAATTTAACCCCTAGTTTAAAGCTGCTTTAGAGTCTTTTGATGATTGTTGGGCAACCACTACATTCACTCCTCAGCAAAGGAGTGTTAAGTGAAGATTTCAACAAGCTTAGTCTGGCTGACCAAGTAATGCTTGACTAACACGTCAAACTTCCCACATTAATTATGGCCTACCCCTCCTGAACAAACCTGGATGTAGGGTGGGATGTAGAGCGGGCTCCAACCAGGAGTCCGTAAACACCATCACAGGTACAACCAACGCTACCTCCAGGAGATAACATTTAAACATCAGGGCGCTCTGCACAATAAGATTTTGCCCCAGCAAATATTTGTATTCTTTTAGTGCTGAACACTATCACAGGGACAATTTTATTTCCCCTTGAATACCTGGGAAATAACGACAGCACTTCAGATGTTACCTAGTGTTACCATCCAGTGCTGGGCTTTTTCAGTGACCATTTATCTCCGAGGATTTTCACAGGAATATTGGCTGGTGAAGCCACAGGAACAATGGCTTCAAAGGCATGAAGCCATTGTTATCGTCTTTATCCAGAAGCAAAAATTCAAACTTTTTTCCCCAACCATAGCCCAGTTGCTCCGTACCAGAATACTAAGAACAAAATCCTCAAACAAACCTGGATCTCTCTGACACTGTTTGCAGACAGTATGAGACAGATTCCTGCAGAAAGGCAGAACGCTCCGGTGACAAAGAAGCTAGAGAGCACAGTTGTAATAGTGAGCTGAGGCTTCCAAGCTGGGAGTTTCTGTTGCTTGAAGGCACTGTTATCCGGACACCTAGAAGGACGCGTCTGTGCTTCCGGACTTTTCTTGCTTTTCATATTCTTCTTGGTGAGAGGAAGGAATAATACACTCGGGCTGGAGGGAGTTTAAGCTGAGATACTGTCCTTTCCGTTGGGAAACTGTACTGTTTGTTCAAACCTGCAATATGGCGAGGAATTACTTATTAACTAGATCTCTCTCTTCCTCATTTTTTACATTTGTGCCTGGATCACCATGATCAGCTTGTGCCAATCACTTGAGTGTGTACTTTAGTCAGAGAGTGCAGTTCATGCCTCCTGAAAAGGCTTAAATATATGCTTTTTCCTGCCCCACAATTCAGTAGTATTTGTTATGTATTTGTTACTCATTTGTAGAGATACTGGAATTCCTGTGCATGATTTCTTCTTCCTTCACTTTCAGAGCTGCCCAGCTACGAAGCATGGGATAAAACAAAAGAGGCTCTACTACAGTTGCACTGGATGCCGTTGGGGAGGACTGCTGTGGCTTAGAGGCTCCCTTCTAAGTGTTCTACTGCCAAACTACATTGCTTTAGAAGGCCAAATCAAATGTTCTTAACCTATTACGTTCCTTGCTATTGATCTAGAAGCAATTTAGGTTTGTAAAAAGGCTGCATGCTCTTAATGAGAGGGCAATTAGCTATAAAAACGTCTGATTTGAATCAACGGCCTTCCAAGACACTGATGATTTGCCCACCTCTATTCATCTGTGGAAAAAAGAATTTCACTCCCTGCTATCCACAAAGACAACAGAATCACCCAGACGTCATCTCCTTTTAATTTAAATGGACAAACAGTAGAATATTGTTTGAATAGAATATTGTTTTAGTGATTTAACCAAAATAAAGCCTCAATTTAATGTACTGATATTTTAAATGTAATTTATCATGTAATATCAGAAAATAGCATTTGGCCAGGTGTAGGACAGCTGAAAAATATAAATTCACACAATACTGTTAAAGACCCTCTAAGGCAAGAACTAGCAGGGCCTGGCTTACCAGTCTCACGAGAGAAGTAAAGGTCTCCTTTGGGACAGCAGAAGGAGCTATCAGAGAATCCAGCTGTGGGAAGACTTTCAAACCCATGTTCACTCATCTTAAATATCTTATAAATGTCATAAAATAGTAAATATAACAGGTGAATACAACGTACATCTAATTTCAGTAACACATTGCTTGTGCAACAAAAATCTTTCATACTAAAACTGCAGACAAAATTTCTGTTTTATTATTAAAAGAAAGGAAAGCAACATGAACAGGCCTCTGAAAGGTCGCAATTAATTTAATCACCCATCGATGACTTGCCAATTGCAGACAGAATAATAGTAAATTACAACTGCAGACTACTTTCTTGTTGGTAAAACCATTAAAAGAGTCCCAGCTTCACAGATCCCTCTCTGCACAGCTTTATAATACTCATCTCCAGCAGGTCAATTGTTTCTTTCTTTATCTGGAAAAAAAAATAAAAATCAAACAAAGCACCAATGGTTACTGATAATGCTTTGGAAACGCACCAGTATTTAGTTTATTTACTTAGGCACTTCTTTATTATGGGATTCAAAATCAAAGGAGAAGTTCCCATACAGGGTCCTTGAACTCCAGAATGTTTCCCTTCTGTAAAATATCTATCTAACTGCTCTGCAATCCTAAGGTACAACTGCAGCTCATATAGTCACATCTAACATAGCTACAAATAAGCTGTAATCGGTAGAGCTGATAAAGCCATGGTAAGAGATACACGCTAGGCTGCAAAATTCCTGCGGGACCTTCTACAGGATCATCCCATAGCCCCCCAGCCACAATGTTGTTAGTGTCTGAAACACCTGAACCAAAGCGAGAATGAAAGGTAGGTCTACATGAGCTGCATGCAAACTACTTTGGATTATAATATAGATAGGCATGTAGTTTACTGTTTTTCTAAAGATAAAAGACAAATGTATATGAGAATAAACTTTGGCTATCTCCTGCAGCAGGGACAGAAGTCTCTCTAATATCATCATTACTCCGGAATTTTCTTATAGCTCCTTTTTCCCCACTTACGATTATTGGAAAGTTTCCTTTAGCATTATGCCCTTCCACACCTACCCTTGGCATAGGAATAAGTGATGCGAGAAAGTCTGAGCAGTCTGTATTCCAGACTACTTGCTATATCAAGGTAAAAACGGTTTTCTTCCTATGACAAGTTCATTTCTTACAAACCCTTTTCCTGAGGTAGGTCATGAAATCTGAAACTTAAACTTTTAGTATTTTCAAATCTGGTCAAGGCTCAGTGCTTGTAATGGTTGCAGAAGGAAAAGATATAATCTGTTAAGCAAAATGTTTGAAAAAACTCCATCTGAATCTTACAAACAAGTAACATCAGGAGTTGAAACAGCTCTGTATTGTCATCTACATCTATACAGGAAGCTTTCAAAGCAGGAAACTTGCCTTTTAGACTGATTAGGAGTAAACAATCATTTTTTATCTAAACTTTTACACTTTAGCAGAACTCAAGCTCCCCAAGACAGAGTCTGATAAACTCATTTCCCCCCCTGCCCCCCCAACTCCTTCCTCACAAGCTTTGTTTTTATTTCCTTCTCTCCACTGTTTGGGATGAATAGAGTGAGAGACATAGAAAAAAACCCAGATGTTGAGGCAACTAAAAGAGCACTGGATCGGGGTGCCCTCCATTCTGTGAAATGATGGGATACAGGAGTGATATACGGGAGGATTCTAGGGTTTTTAATTAACATTTTAATCAGAATATACTCCTGTGTGCATAACACTCCACTGAGTATGAGAAGAGCACAGGAACAGCAAGTAGTCGGCACCTTTAAAATGAAGCTACAGATTTTCTCTTTAGTGAAAAGAAAGGTATATGTGCTTCCAGCTGTTCTTGCTTTCTACCTATTTCATTTTACAGATTGGTTTATTGATACTGAAATATACCCATGCAGCACCTTAGAAATTAGATGGAATTATTGACAAAGCACACTTTGCACTGGAAATGGGTCAGTATGCCTCATTTCCAACTTTAAGGGCAGAGTTTTCCCTCCACAACCAACACAGGATGCAAAAAAATTAGTACATCTAACCAACAATTCTTTAAATTGTGTTGTTGGCAGTATAAAACCTCTCTTCCCTGAGGAAACTGGTGACTATTATCGCTGTAGTTTCACAGTTGTGTGCAGAAAATGGAAAGTCACTTATAAAAAGCAGATTATTAGTGAGCATGCATTTGACAAATTTTATACATGTAGGAGAGAAAGATGCTCTGCTAACTAAGACAGTATTCCATTTTTCAAGTCTGCAGGTTGCCAGAATGTGGCCCATTGGTTTCCACTGTGTCATGATGCCTTGTCTCTAAAACATTATCTGGGTACCTTCTATTACTTACATTCTGTATAAATAACTTTTGGTAAATCTACCTGCTGTCTGCAGGTCTGCATCTGCAAATTGCTGCAAGATGTTTCACTTGCATAACTCAAGCTGTCAAAAGCATTTCTGTATATTGTGTTATCTGAGCCACAGTGCATGTTTGAAGGCTTTTCTGTAATCACATAAACACTGTTCTGTAATCATACATGCACATCTATTCCTTTGGTTACCACTGTACATGAAGGCGTAACATTCCTCCATATTTGGTTTCAACTTGAACTATGCCTGACTTCTAAACATTTACTTCTGTAATTTTAACATTAAAATGGCTATTTTGCCTTAATAAAATGCAGCTGGAGCCACAATTTTTGGACTGTATTCCCAGACAAACATGCAGAAATGCTGTGATACTACCTATACTGAGCTGAAAGGGATAGCTCAGGTTTGCAATAGCCCAAAAGTAAGTATTAACAATGTAATCTTCAACTTTTTGAAATGGATCTCTTGTAGTCTGTGTGTATACCTACTTTCACCTGACCTGCAAAAATTCATTCCACCCCAACCAGCAACTTTGGTACTATTGTCTTGTGCTAATGCTTTGATGGCTTCAAATTCTTTGGTCTTTACAAAACTCCTGCACTTACAGGTAAGTGCAAGCACTGTACAAAAAAGCCTTATGTATTTACCACAAGAGGGAGCCTCCTCGCCTCAATAACCAAAACTGGGTTTTTTGCGGCTTCATTTCTGCAACATGTTTTTGTAGGCAGGGCACATTATCCAATATTAATTAGAAACATACATCTTTGTGTATGTGGGACTGTAATATACAGCACATTCAAATACACAGACAAGTGAAGAGCAGGATTAATGACTGAAAATTTGTTTGACTTGTGAAAGAGCTCAATGTCTATACGCAAAAAAGTCCTCTTCCCATGGAGATTCTGAGTATTGGCCTTCTCTAAAGGTGCCTAACACCGGGCAGGAAAACGTGAACTTTTTAACAACGATGGGTGGAGGAATCTGCTTCTTTCCTTCTCTGCTGGCTAAATACGAGTTGATGCCACACAGCACATGGTAAACATGCCCCATGACAGCAATAAACGTGAAAGCTGGAATACAGAATTGAAAAGAGGCATGAACTATCAGGAAAGGAGTCTATAGATGACAGATGGCTTTACATGGTTTGTACCCTAACTCTCGTGAAACAAGAGGAATTGCCTATAGATAGATTTACTCACAGGAAGCTATCTTACCCTCAGCTAGAGACCAGTAAAAGCTTCTTCAAGGGTTTTACTTAGTATTTGACAAAACTTTTGCACAAGGTCCTCTTGCTGAGAGAGTACTTCCCTGGGACAGGCAGAACAACTATCTAGCATAAACAGGACAGATTCTCCAAATGGTACAACTCACAACTCACAGCTGTGTCTTGCAAGTAAAATGTTGACTCCTTTGTGTTTCTAGACCACTGAAGTCTGCTTTACAGAAAGGAATCCTGACTGACAAGTTCTAAGCACTAATTTTGTCTGAATCAAAAGCACTGAGGACACAGAATACAGTATATACAGATGTTTATACAGTACCTCAGGGATATCCATCATTCTCCTTAGTTTCTGATCTCTCCAGTTCCAATCCAGAATCATATACTTTGTTGAGTTCAGGTACAGGCCATCTGAAAAGGCAACACAAATTTTACTACCCAGATAACGTGACATGTGCTTATCAAAATGATTTTTGGTTTTTACATCTTTCGCTCTCAGTTCCCAAGGAAACTAATATTTGAACACTAAATATTGCATTTGCTGGTTGGAAAACTAATGCAATGACACTGCAAACTCCCTTAACCACATAATCCCATGCCTTTTTGGAAGATAAACACAGAAGCAGAACAACTACTGTTGCCAGGCTTGTCAAGAGCTAACATCCTGCCAGCAAATAATTCCCCAAGCTTCCTTTCCATGAAACCACAGGAGTTGAATTTCCACAGCTGATGAGGAGCTGGTAGGTTATAAGGACCCAAGCCTGAAAAATCCCATTAATGGGAACTGACGGTGTTCAGCAATTTACTGGATTGGGTGCTATGTGAATGCAAGTCAGGTGCTACTAAAGTATTCCTTTATCCTTCAAAGAAATGGTGGTGAGAGAGGAAAACGGTCCTTTTTTGAACTGACTCTCCAGAAGTCCCCCTGTGTTTCCCTGGTCTTCTGTATGATGTCCATAATTTTTCACATCAGTTGTTTGACTCTTCTCCATTCTTTTAGTGACCTGCCACTACAACACCAAACTGCCAAAAAAGGACCACACCTTAGAAGTGAAGATAATCTGCCATAACCTGCCTTCTCCTAACATGGCTATGTGCTGATATGCTGAGCAGTACGGATTTTGCATTCGTGGAGGGGACAGAAAAGCAACAAAATTACATTACTCCTGTGCCTTTTTGGAAGAAGTACAGTCCCAATCCCTATCCAGTCCCTGAACAAGAAGCCACAGCTGGAGTGAGGCAGTCATTATAAAGCAGAAAAGAAAGAGTCACTTTATCATCTTGTGATTTTGTTGTTTGTTTGGGTTTGTTTGTATATAATGTGTACTGCATAAGTAAAGCTACTCAAGACTTGGGAGGAGAAAAGGAGATTTATATGGAATAATTAATTTTATTATAATGCAAATCAGGAATAAAATCAAATCAGCAAGCAGATCTCTTCTCCAGCCCCCCACAAGAGTTTACACTGAGCTCAGAGTGATACATGATATGATGACTTCTGCCATTATTTCCTTTTGATTTTTTTTTGCAGTGTTTGGTTTCCTGGAACTTTAAATCTTGCACCAGAGTTTTGCAATCACTTACAAGTCAGCATAAATCAGTATTGTTGCCAAAAGAGGAAGTCCCCCACCTCTGCCTGCTCATTACCCAATTTTGCATGTGGGTTCCATTTGGGGTTAGTTTTAATTGGGATCAGTTCTAATTGGGATCAGTTCACTGCCAGACTCTTGTGCAGGCGGGGGGTGCGCTACTCTGTCTTTGCGTGATAGTATTGATTTATGCCGGTTTAAAGAGATCGTGAAATTAAATGTTAGAATCTTGACCTCATTTCGACCAACGCAGTAGAAGTGGAAAAATAAAACGCCAAAGCTTAGTCACCAAAGCCACAGACTCTAGTCAGCCTAAGACCATCAAAAGCAACAGAAATCTCATTTCTTGCAGCATGTATAAGATACCTACTGAAGAAACTCTCCTTGCTTTCCTACCTTGCTCCACAAGCGCTTTTATTCTCCCAGGAGTTCCCACCCCAATGTGGAAGATGCCTTTTTCCAACATAGTTATCTGTTCTTTTATCTAATAAGAGAAAGAGAAACCACAGTAAAGTCACAACTGTTTAAAATTTCTTCTCAAAGAGTATTTCCAGGATGGAAATAAATTCAAGATCACCCAGCTCTCCTTCTAGGATACTACCAGGTAGCAAATGTTACTCATCTTTCAGACTGCCAGACTGATAAATTTGGGAGAGAGTTTAAGAAACATAACAGCCAGCTGGGCATCAGACTTTTATAGAAGGTCAGTCATTTTCTGCTTTGAAAGTCTCTCATTGTACCAACTGTCTCTTGAGGCATGAACAGAATGCTTCCTTAAGCATTTAAACAAATTGTCTAGAAATATCTGGAAAACTGACAAAGCTGTATCTGCTCTAACCTGCCTCAAGACAAAGACACTGGAGAAGGGTGAAATAAAGCACGTGACATTTGTGTGTTTGACAGTGTTTACATCAAAGGCCAAGTTTCCACTCATTACCTCCAATGCCGCCATCATTTGTGCCTGCCAACACATATGAGTACTGGGGCCCCAGGCATCTCACGGCCATATGCGTGTGTGGGTGCTGGTACGGTTTGCTTCTACAACTATATGTGCGAGCCTTATTTATATTTAAATGGGCCAAAAACTTCTGAAGGAGCACCTTACAAGAATGTGGAACACCTCTATAGCATAGCACAATACATAAGCATCTACACTGTGCCTAGGATTGCACCAGAGTTACGAGAGAGCTTGGAGATGGCATTTGGCTGGATGCCTGAAACTGCAATAATGGGCTTCAAGAGGAACACTAAATGAAAGGCATTATTATCCCCCCCAAAAAACCCTATGACGCTAGATAGTGGTTTAGTTGTTCTATAAAAAAACCCTTGTAGCTTTCTTACCTTTATGTGCTTTGCAAACAATTTCAGAACTCTGCAGTCTCCTTTAAATGCTGTCATTGACCTAGCAATAAAACAATTGAAAAAGGAAATGCAGGCATCAGGGCTAGCATTAAGACCACACAGGAGGAAAGCAAAACTAGCTGGCATTTCTCAGCATGCTTGAGACACACAGCTCCCCAGTCACCCTTATCGGTACTTTGAAAACTATATTCATTCTATTTTGCTACTTGGAGAGATCAACAATTGGAAAAAACACAATAGCAGACACAATTAAGGAGTAATATTGTTTAGATGGGTTGTCAGATAATATTTTATAGTCATGGCCTGCATTTTCACAACTAACTTTGTTCTAAACGGACTAATCACCAAATTCGAATCCAAAAATATCTCCGTTACTGATGTGCCAGTGTGACTGAACACACGCGTGCATGCATGCACATAAAGAAAAGATCTGTGAATTGGCAAAGCTACATTTTACAGAATCTTCATGCAGTGCTGCAACTGGGAACACCTAGGCTGCCAGTCTTTACTACAGAAAGAATCTCGATTATCCAAATCCCAGTTGACCAAACCTATTTGTCTGAAAACCTGACTTGTTTTTTTGACTCTCCACTTTGGCACATAACCAAAAACTTTATGCTCTTTATTAGCCAAGCAGGAGACAACACATTCCGTATTTACTGAATGTCATTTAAGATGGACTTTTTCTGAATACTTTTTGCAGCAAGCCAAATTTTCAGATTTCTCTTTTGCAAAGCTAAACTGTTATATACAAATATCAAATATACATGTAAACCACCTGAGTTTCAGATGGTGTTATCTGCATGCAGGTGCTTAGCACTACAGGCACATCTGTCATTTCTACGCTTTCATCTGTGGCATGGGGTTAAACCTCCCAACTCTTGATCTCATTTTGTACTAACAGATAATCACAGGAAACAGGGTTAAGACACAAAAGACAACCATGACATCTGTGGGGTATGCACTAATTTAACAAAGTCATCAAGATTTTCTGGAATGGGGTGGGGTATGACAGAGAAGGGTAAAAGGAAGACAGGGCACATGGAAAGTCGTCCTGAGCCAGCTGAGACCACTCACACAGATCTCAAGGCATTCAGGCCAGAAACCCGCATCACCACTGGAGGTCCTGGAACACCATGTCCTCATTATCACTGGTGCCAGCAACATTAGGACCCTACAGTCACAAGTTCTAGTGGTGGGTCAAGAGGTTTAATGGGTTTATTCTGTTCCCAGCTATAACATGTTGCATGTTTCCCCTAAATTGGCTACACTTTATTTTTGTTTTTTAACACAAATAGCACTTCCATGCAACTGAACTACTGTGTTACTTTAGTCTAAGTTTAAAAAAAAACCCCCCCCCCCCCCAGTTTAAAGCAGCATGGGATATTGCCTCAGTTTCAGTCAGTAACTTTGCTGGCTAGCAAAAGACAGTATCCCAGTTTTGCCTTTATGACTGTGGTTCCAAGACAAAACCTCTGACTAACTGCCAACTTCAACATAACATTTGCTATCAACATACTTGATGAGTTCCAAGGAACGAAGGGCAGAACTGCAGATAACCAGCATCACCACTGACTTGGTCTCCTTGTGGTTTTTTCGAAGTTTTGCCCATTTAGGACAGACTGCAATGAAAAAGCCCATATAACACATTGAGAAAGTACTACTTATATACACACCATGATTTTAAATTACAAGAGTACATGAAGAACGGTAGCCAGCAGCAGCAACACACATGCTGACTCCTATGAGGTCTGGATCTGGGGCAAAACTTTTACATTTAGTCATGGCTGAGAAACTGGAAAATATAATGCCCAATATAAATAAAACAGACACATTATATAACTGAACAAATCAGATAAGCATTGAAATTCAACATTTTGTAAGGTGACAAGTCCACTGTCTTCATTTGCCCCATACAGAGATTTTTATCAGAGAAAAACAATCAAAAAGAAACGTTTACCAGACCAGAACTTCTACACAAATATGTGAGAATAAAAATCCTCTTTCTTAATTCCAGTAGACAGTCTCAGGATTGTCACTGTAAGATAATACATGTAGCTACTTACGAAGCAACCATAAATTACTGAGAAAGAATCTCAAGCAATTAAAAGAAACCCTAGAACATTTTGATGCAAAGAGAAGTTGCAGAGTAAAAAAGAACCAGGAACACAAAACCTGTCATGCAAAAAGGAAAAAAAAAAACAAACTAAAGAGTTATTAATGTTTCATAGTTAAAAACATTTGGAGGTGCAGATAAAAAGCTGCAATAATATTACATTAGTAATGTTTTTCACACAACTCTTCTCATTCTGACCAACGTTTTAACTCACTTTCCTTCAGGTATGAAGAAAAACTGTGGGTGAGGTCATTGGCTGGCAAAAAACAGGAATCTGAAAACAGAAAGGAAAAAATGGTTTTTTGATTCATTTGTAACAGCAAAGTTAGCATATATGTTTGCAGCATAGCCACTGGTTATGCTGATTAAATCACACCTGTATTAAAATCCATCTTCCAACAAATTACCATTTGTGAAAGCAGGTTTGTTTTCACCTCTACAGAACCACAAGCTTTAAACTGGTTAAGTTAATTAAGACAGCATCTCTCAACCCAATTGCAATTCCTTTCTTTTCTCTCACTGTGTAACCCTGCACACATACTGCACAAGAGCGGTCAAACACTTTAAAGCAAGTTTTCACATGTCTTTGCCACAATCAGTCAAAGGCCTGAAGCCAAAAGCTGTATAGTTAACTCGCCAGACCATTTCTCCAGTGTAAGATGGAAGACGTTTGTAGGTCACTTGAACAATTTGTAAGTAGAAGAACATACCAATAAGTGTAATTGGCCACTCTCCTGTCAATGAGTTTGTTTTTCTTCCTGGCTTTTCATATTGCAGCAATCTAACTCACTACACTAGTGCAAAGGGTAACATTTACACTGCATTTTAACACCCTCCTCTTCCTTCATTTCTCACTGACTCCTTATCTTTTACCGGGTCACTATGTTAACCAATGAGCCTTAAAAAGCCTCTGTGGCAGAGACATACTGTTCAGCTTTAGGCTCCATATACAGCCAACAAAGAAAGACCAGGTCCTAACTTAGGTACTTTGGAGGGTCCTTCCTTTCTCCAGAGTCCATATAGAAAGTCTAGGTTCTTATAGCAGTAATTAAAATTAGATGGCCTGAAAACGTGCCATAGTTTTTAAGGGTCCTTCACATGCTGGAACAATATCCTCTCTTTGAGTAGTAACAACTAGCTCTCCAGGGACAACCTATTTGTTGTCATTCCTCATGAAGCACTGCCCCTCAGGACGCATGTCTTGGGAGTGGGATGTTTGCTGACACATCTACTAACAAAACAGATTAAATTTTTCCTATTTTACAATAATCAGTTATTTAAGAATACACTTCTGAGATAACATGCAGTAACTAACTAAATTAAGGAGGCTTCCTTACACACGTTACTGATGTTCATATGGAGACGGCTTGCAATGTTAATCCATAATCCCCTCTGGAACAGACAGTGTGACAAATTCATTTTATAGCTGGAGTCTGACAAAAGTCCTGTCTGTGTAGTTTCCTGATAATAGTTGCTCTCAGTCACTGTATCTTCCGTTTAATGGGCGTTATCTGGCTAAAAACTTGTGTTCTGCCCTGATCCCTTTTATTAGAAACAGTGATTGAAATGCAGTGGGACTTGAGCTCCAAAGGAAACTGAATGTGTTCGACTGAAGGATGAGCAGCTGATTTACTTTCAAACTCAAGTTTAAAAGATGCTCTTGATGCTAGTGGGGAAGGGTAGGGGCTGGTGCAGTACTGCAAGCATTTGTTAGTAATAAGAGAAGTCTACATCCACTCCATTTTTTTCCTTCCAGTGGCAATCCATCTTAGCTCTTATTTTGCTGATCTGAGTACAGTAAGTCTCATTAATGACTGAACAATTCAAAAGATATTTTTAAAGGGATACAGGTCTCAGTCACTGACTTTTCACCAACACAGCAGCACAACTACAGTATTAACAGTAACTTAAGATAAAAGTCCCATAAAGGGGGGAAAAACAACACAGCTCCAGCCTGCAGCAAGAGACCATGCTGACTACAGACCTGAGCTTCTGCATTAAGTATGTCTGTTAACAAGAATGCACAACTCCAAGTAGTTGCTTGTTACTTTGCTCAGTGCTCTGATGCGAATGACTTGACAGCTGTAGAAGTCAGTAAACTCCTTGGCTCTCTAAGCTTCCAAGTACCAGCACGAAAAGTAAGGAAGAAAATCTCCATCCAACCCAAGAGCAAATCCATACGGAAATGAATCACCTCACTAGCCTGAAGGCCTCTTCTATTAGGAAAGAAACCAAAGCAAATCTAGATCTAGACATATTTAACATAAGCATTTCAAAACAATCTATATGGGCTTCCTCCATGTTTTCTTGATTCAAGAAGAAAGCTGAACTTGGCCTAAAGAAATAAAGAAGGGTCAGCCTAGAATCATGGATGTCTGAATGGGCTGTAAGAGCATACTCACCTAGAAAGACAAGCCTAAATGTCAAAAGAGAGAAAGCACTGCTGGGCTAAAAGGGTGCTGGTTGGACTTGGGTCACCAAGAGTTCAAGAAGTATTAAAGGAATATGCAGACTTGTTACCAGGCAGTTTAGTTTTCATAGAGATAAAGCCCAGAAAATGAATTCCTCTTTATCTGTGGAGTAAGATGCAAAGCAGTTCAACGTTGCCACTATCTCTAACGTAACCTGAAACTGAAAGAGAAGCTCATCCCACTCTGTCCTGCTTTGCCTTTTCTATTGCTGGCTTTTAACTGGAGACAGACTACAGGAAACTCAGACGATCCCAGTCATAGTTAAAAATTGTTCATTTTACATTTGGACCAAAGCTACCATCTGATTTCATGCCACCTACTGAAAAAACATTGTTCAACATCTCATAACCAAGTCAGAATGATGTTTTGTTATTTCTTTGCCTACATCTGTCAGCCCTTCTATTACACATGTGGCTAGATTCAGGTAATCTGAGAAGTAAGATAACTTCTTTGCTGTCTTTTTCAGCATATTGGAAACCACTACTTAGGAAACATATCATTTCTGTAAGAAAAGCAAGCTCCTGCAATTAATATTTTCCAATAAAAGCACACATTTAAATAATGTTTCTCTTTGTTTCCCCAGCTACAAAAAATCCACATATTTGTCCCAGTGAAGCTAACATCTCCACTTAAACAGCAAAGCAATATGTAGTATAAGACACTATTTCCTTAAAAAGTTCAACTCAGGAGACCTGTACTAAAAAAAATCCCCTGTCTTCTACAGCAAAAGAACTCACTGCTATCATGAAAAAAAAGCATTCTTTATCTATTTAATATAGGATAAGTTACCTGACAGCTTTAATTCTTCCATTTCTATCACTGAACGCTTTGCACCAAAATGTTGACTAAGCAGGTTCAGCAGATCTTCAGGGACACCGGGTTTTGGAGTAAATTTTTCCAAAATATCAGAAATCTTCTTCTAAAAATGAGTAAAAGGGATATGCAAGGCATTGCTATCATTTTTGCTGTTTGGCTAGTTAAAAACACTAGCTATAGTTAGTTAGTTTCATAGTTAAAAACACTATAAATACATAACTTGACAAAGAGGGAACTTAATTAGAAAAAGACCTTACAATGAGACAAAATTCCCATTGTCTTCAGTGGGAACGTAGACTTCACAAGTGAGTTCAGAGTCCTTGACAAGATGGTCTGTGAACCTGAAGACAAAAAATCTTGCACACTCACCTGAAATGTTGCTATAGCAAAAACATAACCGAGAGCTGGTTTTGTGGGATTTGCTGTTGTTACACTTAAATATTAGTTTGAAAATTCAGGTTTTCCCAACATTCATTTTAATTTATAGCATTAGTTTAAAGCACTAGTAACAAGACTCAAAATATTATATATGTCTTGCCGTATTTTGATTAGAAGAAGGTAAGTTGTTACCCACTTTGGAAGGAAAGATGGCAAGCTAGATTCACAGAATAACTTGGCAGTGTGATGGAAATGAGTGAGAAGTTCACAAAAACAGAGGGCAAACAACGAGAGTGCAGCAGCTATTTTGTTCTTCTAAAATGTATAACTTTTTAAACCAATCTAATAATTTTTGAGCCTGAAACATGACTTTATGATACTATTTTACACTTGTGGAACATAATCTCAGAAATAGGTGAGAAAATTCCGTTTGCTTTTTTTCTTCTAATTCCTTTAAACAAGGAGTAGAGAAAATGACACTTTATAAATGAAAAGATCTTGATATCATTGACATTTCAATGAACGTGTTGCTGTATTTTTTCACATAATTAAATGAAGCATGGGGGTAGAACTGCCCAGGATTCCTTTCATCTGAATGTTCACTTCAGAATATGGGATCATTTCAGCATATGGGAGATTTTCAAGGAGAGAGGCAGCCTGGAGACAATGGCAACAAAGTAAAGACCCTCTTGTTCTCACTGAGAAAGGGTTCGTTTGTGCAAAGCCAGCTAAAGCAGCATAAGCTGAACTGAATTTGCTGTCATGAGAGCATACACGCCACCATGAGGACAGCATAATCCCAGAAGTGAAAGGGAGCCAGAGAGTGTGGTTAGGATAGAGCACTAAGGTAAAGACCTGCGAAGGGAAAGTTAGATTTTACCGAGAGAATGTGGGCCTGGGACCTCTTAGTGGCCACTTCAATGAGGCGGTGGGTAGCTTCAGTGCAGTTTTGGCAGGCTGAGGGGGTGGCAAAGATCAACAGAAACGTTGAAGACAGCTATAGCGGGAGTTGTATGCAGGGGAAAGATCTTTTTCCATCCCTCTCTCTTTTGCCACTCCATCCCAGCATCCGCTTCCTCCTTCCCTTCCATCCAGATTCCCCACCTCTCTCCATACTGCCCAATACACCCCAAGTACTCCTTTAGTGGCAACATCAGGAGCAGAAGGCTGTACACAGAAAAGCCACACAGGGGCTGCTGAAACCACTCTACCCCTTTGCAATGGCAGAGGAGGCAGCCTGCCTCTCTCAACCCTCTGCCACTTCAGGCCACTGCCAATTTCACCTCTGCTTAAAGCCAGCTGGGTGTTTTCAAGATTTCAACCCAATCTTCAACAGCGGAACACAAAGAGATCACGTGCTTACGCTTTCTTTCCAGTCTACCTTCAGCCTGGTCCAAAGCCCTCTGAAGTCACTGGAAGACTTTCCAGTGGACTTCAGGCTGTTGATCAGATTTTTACAATGCCTAAATCGGTAGCGTTCCCTCTCAAGTTTCACCTTCATCTGACACTGTTTTATTTTTCTGCTATCCGACAGTTGCAAGCTCTGTCACTTTCTAGTAATACTTTTTCCTTAGGCTGTTTAAAAACAGGCCTTCCCAAAGAATGGGAAGACACACAGCCTTTGCATGAGGCCCACAACAAAACTTCTTCATTGTTATTCCTGTCCAATATAAAAGGTACTGCACTAGGGAGAATTCCTCTTGTCCTGCCCCAGTCTTCTACCCTGCCTCTTCAGTGACCCACATTTGGGAACCTCTGATTTAGCAGATAGTAACACTGAACTATCAGGTTCATTTTACTTGGTAACTCAGCGTAACCTGCCATTCCACAGGACCATTACGTCATTCACTGGGCCACTTGATTCCTTCAGGAAAATTATGGTCCTCTTGAGGGCAGAAGCCTGATACTAACAAGAAATTCCGTAAGAGTAAGAGCGAGGACACCTGAGCAAACTCTCTTCCTTCAAGGACAGCTACGCGGAAATGTTCCTCGTGCAGGAAGTTTTATTATTTTTCTTCCAATTCATTCCAGATGCTTAAAGGCAAAGTTTTTTTTTTCTTTTCTTTTTGATCTTTTTGGAGAAAGTAGTATGTTTGGGACCTATAGATTAGCCTGATAAATATTTCCTGACGGATTTTTTGATATGCTGTATATGTCAACTTAGTGGCATTTCCCCATTGAAACTAAAGGTATAACTCAGCGCTTATTGTGTGCCTGAGAACTGGGTGTTTTTGTTAGGTCTGGTTCACCAGTTTCTATTGTGGGATGCTTTTGCTCTGGCTGCAATGGAAGTAGTACCGAGGTCATTTCTACCAGAGCTGCATTTAAAGCTAAATCCCACTCTTCCCTCATCTCATTCCCTGGACGATTCAGAGGCCTGGCATAACATAAAAAAGCCACCTCTCTGCCCTGTGAGGAAGCCAAGTATTTACAGTCTGTCCTGAAAGCCAATTAATTTGCTTGGTGCCATACAATTTCCATCTAGACTGCAGTATGTGTTTGTTGTTGAGGATGAGGATGGAGCATAGCCAGAGGGATGATACAGAGCATTTATTTATATACTTATACTATGAAGAGAAGAGGGAACAAGGACAGTTCTTGGCTCAAGAGATGTAAAAGCAGTTGGAGCCTGGCCACGCAGCTGAAATAGGGGAGATTCTGCAGCAACTGAAATTCCATCTTTCTCTGATACAGCTTTATTTTCCTAGTGTGCAACACTTGCAAGCTGGGTGTCGACATACACACCCCTTGAACGGGGTGTAGACAAATGCCTCAGTTCACATGGGGAGTGAGTATTTTGAGTGAACTCAGAAAAGTAGGAATTTCTGTTCTTCTCTAAAATAGGCTGCAATAGCTTTGATCATATTACTCCACATTGTCACAGGGCTGTTCGATTGTGAATCTTGTAATAGCATATGCACCTGGTGCCCAGTTCCCAAATACGTCCTAGGACATTCATACCTTCCTTCTCCTCTTTGCTTTTACAGTGCTCTCCTGTTTTTCTTCAGGCTGAGTTAGAAAACACTCTGTAGGCTGCAAAGCACAGAAAAAGAAAAAAAGAAAGACTCAACATTAGAGATATGATCATCTTAAAAAAAAAAAAAAACAAAAGGAGGTAAGACATTGTCATATTGGGTTAAGGAAAAACAAACAAAACCAAGCCTTGCTACTTGTAGAGGGAATCAAGTTCTTATAGTTACCTAAATCTGCAGTGATTTCAGAATAAAGATCTATGTTATTGCAACCAAGAGCAGAATAAAAGAATGGGAAGTGGAAACACACAGGCTGTAGTCATACTTCAGTCATACTTCCATAAAATGGTCAAAAGCAGGTTCTGATAAATTAAAAAAATAAACAAGAAAATCACTAACAGAGCTTTCAAAAATCATATACATTTAATCCCCGCTATTGTGTATGATTATTTTTCTAAACTTTGCCAATAGGATTCTAAAATAACTCAGTCTAATATGAACATCCAGATGGTGAAAGATACCATGCAAGTGGGAGAGAATAACTGGAAATAAACATGCTCTAGACTTCCTTTGACATTTGTAATGTACACATGATCAAACACACATGAGAAAAATATATGTTGCATTTCAGAATAATCTTTATCCAACATATGTGTCACTGTTATTAACTCTCTTTTGTTCCTGAGTAAGCAGGCCGAATTGGTCTGTTAGCTAGAGTCCCTGCTCAAAGACGCCAGGGTGTCTGAAAACCACCTAAAATTGTCCAAGACAGAGGAAGTGACTCACAGTTAGGTTGTCCGTGTTTTAAGCATAGCAATTATCTTTCTTTGGCCTCGTTAGGGTCTGAAAATTACAAATGCAAATTAATCTACAAATGCGGGCTTTGGAGCTTAACAAGTGATTTCACGAAGAGCAATGGGAAAATGGGCTGAGTTGCAGGAAAAAGCTCACTGTCACTACAATGCATTTGGCTGGAAAAATCTACTCTTGTGAGCAACTGTGGAGCAGGCTCATTATTTGGAATATTAAAAGCTCAGGAGTAGCCAGTCCTGCACTGGCCCCTGAGGAAAGCCTGGAGGAGACACAGCAGCAGTAAAGGGAGCCTGGCTGAGACCTAGAGAAGTGCTCCTCCATTCCTCTCTTAGGACAGGAGCCACAGGACCAAGGGGGCCAAGGGAAAGCCAACAGAGTATGCGAGCCTCTCTGAGCACTTCCTCCACTGCCTTCTTGACAGGAGGCCACTTCCTGAAGGCTCATACCCTCTGGCCCTCACCACATTTGTGCCTTTTCATGCCCATTCTCACAACTTTAATACTTAGAAGCATTTTGGGGATTTTCACTGTTCGTGTTTTGGCTACATTTCTCTTTTCTCCCCCTAGCCTCCCTCAACTTAGCTATAAAAAACAGGGTACCACCATGCTCACCATAAACAAATGATCTATTGCTTGCCCCTCTTTTAAGTGCCATGAGGCAAACACACAGTCAACACTTGCAAAGGCAGTAATACTGTACGGAAGAGGACCTGATACTGGCTGAGGTTTGAAGTGAGACTTAGGAACCAGCAGAGAAGGTTCGGCTGGGGGCTGGCTACAGCCAAGGTAGCACTCTGTACCTAGACTTGGAATTTATATTGCAGCTTGGGTCAATATCTACCCATGAGAAGCTGTGAGAGAGTCCATATCTTGTCTCAACAAACAGGGATCTGTCCCTGTGATTTTCTCAAGTACAAACAGATATGATCACCACTGGAAATCAAGGGACTGACTGCAAGTAGAAATTCACTTGACCTAATAAGGTTGCTCCAGGGTTAATATAATTTTTTTTTTATTTTAGTTTTTTTTTTAAAAATCTCTGTCCTGACCGTGATTCAAGTGCTTTTAAGAACACCATCCATTTCTTCATTCCCAACTCTGCTGTTAGCATTCCCAGATATTCAAACTGAAACAGAGCTGCCCTCTGCCTTCAGCTCCTGCTCTACCCTTATGTATCCCGGCAGTCCACAGATATTCAAAGACCACTTGCCAGGTGTTTTCATCATAAATTCCATACTCAGCATCACATTTTAGGCAGAGAACAAGTCTTTGGACTGATTTAGTCAAGGGACACTACCAAGGCATCAAAAAACCAGAAATGGTCGACCTGAATCTCCTTCTTCCTACAGGACACAATGGTTCTTTAACCTAGGAAGCTTCACCACTCTGTTTACGAATCTCTGTTTACAGAAAAATGGCACTCAATCACCTTGGCCCATTTCTCCCTTCACACACATTGTGAACTGTTGTATATAAACGTGCAAAACACCATGCGTGCTCCCGACTTGTATCTGTGTGAGAAAAGAGTAAAACCTGCAGAGCTGAAAAATGTTCTCTGAGAGAAATGAAATCTTGTCACTGATAACTCTTCATTCAATTGCTTAAAATATCACCAAATGTCATGGCTTCTCTTTTGAACACAGCATGAAACCCTTTCTTTCACTGGCAACAGAGGCATATAGCAGGCCTGTAGGCAAAGCCTAGCTTCCTCAGACCAGCATATTAAGACTCACCAAACTCCTTTACAGCAGCACATACATACATACATATATGTGTATATGTACATATACATACACACACACCCATATATGCATGGAATACTGTTAGTCCAGAAAGACAAGTCCACTGACTCTAGACATCAAGGATAAAGCCATAAAAATAAGAGAAACCAAAAGGTGTTGAACAGCTGTAAATCTGCATGTCTTTTGATGATCGGTAATCTTAAAATACTTAGGTATCTGATCTAGACTGAACTTCTGACCCTTTTATAAATGTTAGTTGCCTACCTAATCATTCAACAGCTCTTTGCATGCCACCCTTAAGAAAAGGTCATTTGCATGTTTTTCTTATGCAGGATACAGAACAGACAACCTACTCGTTTTTGACACGGCTCCCTTGTGCTCTGTGTTCTTATGCTATTTTTACAACAAAGTTCTTAAAATGCAGAAAACAGGAAATTTGTGCTGAGACCACTGATTTATGAACTAAAATGTCATAAATTCCTTGTTTGTTAATCACAGACAGAACATAAAATATTTCCTGTATTATATTTCTAGCACAACTTTTTTTCTGTACAGGTTGCCAAGTTACTGGAAATTCAAATGTAAAGTCAAAACATTCTTGTGCGTGTGTGAAAGTTTACATTCTAGGTCAGCCATGTACTCTGGCTTTGGGAGTTAGTGACAAAGTAAACACATCAATGCCCCATTCAGATTGGAGACAAATTATTCACTTCATTGTAAGGCTGAGGACAGTTTGCAGACTGGAAACATAAATGTTCATAATTCTATTTAGTTGTCTCCTGACTGGTTTTAAGATGCCAAGTCCACTGCAGAATAGCTTCCAGACTGTGAATAAGGCAGGGATGAGTGAGTAAAACAAGTTCTGTTGAATAAACCAGAAAACAAAACTACTACCTTTGTATAAATACATCTGATCAGCAAGCCTTCTTGCTATAAAAGACCTGCAATAACATATCCATGACATTGAGCTCCTATTAGCCATGAAACTCTATAAGGCAATGGCTTAAGATCAAATTACTGGTTCCAAAATACAAACTGGTATTTCTTATTGTACAGGAAGAGTTGTGGCATGTGTTCTGGGCCACAACGTTCTCATAGAATTAGCAAAGTACCTCCTCCAGGTGAACCAGCTGATCTTGTTCCAAATGTATAAGGGAACTTAGTGCTGCTAAAAAGTGGCTCCCTAGGCAACCTTGCTGAGTTGAAGTCCTCAATATCTGCCACCAGGTACAGTGCGTGGAAGGGCAAGACAACCTTCTATATCGCTCGGTTGTCGCCTTCCTAATGAAAATGTGGAAGCAGTTCAGATTTCTTGGCTCACTTAGCTCTTGGATGACTGCGAAAGACACCCAAAAGGATGGTAATTAGTACCGCACATTTACTGCGTTGCTTCTACTTCTCTGTTACAGTTAAGAGAATATTACTGCAAATGTTTTTCACTTGGGCAACTGCCTAGGCATCACACAGTGAAGGCTTTTATTTAGTACTGACCTACATCAAAATTATTACTGATCTCAAGGAGGGGAAGCCTCCAATGTTGTTTCAGCTTCTTGACAGCTGTTCAGTCCATTCTCCTGTACGATACCAGGAAGATAAAAGAAATTTACTTTCAAATAGGAGACTTCTTAAAATCAGCTGAGCTTTAGATGATTCTTTTCTGCTAAAGTTGGGGGGATGCTGATTGTCAAAGATTTTCCTGGGCGTACTCCATGTAGTTCTGAGAATCACAGCTCCTACAGGTCGCAGAGGAAGCTTCTAGCAGTGCAAGGCTGTGGAAACATGAACCCACATGGACTTAAATTCTTCCTCACTTGGACATTTCAATGAAGTTATATTTGGGTGGAGATGCTGTAAAACATTTAAAACATAGCTCCCAAGATCTCCTGTGTACAGGGAGAGGAAGCCGAGCAGCACCACTCAGGCTTTTATCACTAGAAGTCACCACACAGCAGGCAGGCTCAGTAACCTGAGTTTACACAAAACAAGAGTGAAGTTATTATTGAAATGTACTGGATCTCAGCCACTTCCCAGTAAGTTCAAACTGCCTTATAAAAGGATCTTATCATGCAAAAAGATCAGACAAAAGGTGAAGAAAACTGCCCCCTTACTGAAGAAAAAGGGACTACGTTTCCTTATGCATTATTATCTCTGTGCTCTACACAGCTGCTAAACTTACAAACCTGCTTTCTTTTCTTTGTCACAGCAAGTTTAGAGTCTGAATCCTGATGCATTGCTCCCCTCTCACCACTTGTCTTCTCATTAGCTTCATCATCTGAGGGATCTGATGAGAAAAAGAAGGAGTTTTGTTACTCTGTTTTTTAAATGCATCTTCTACCTTCACATCCAGAAATAGGGATAATATCGTCAGCTGAAGGTTTGTCACAATAATACAATCCTAGGATTGGCAATAAACACAGCTGTAACAGAAATTAATATCACTTTACTAGTATTTGACATTTACCTAAGAAGAAATCCAATTTTCCCCTCTTCTTCACAGTATTTCATCTAGAAGGCAATATATTTCCTTAGCTTTCTGCAAAGCTGGTACCATCTGCAGAATCACAGGTAGAAAAGTCTAATTTTTCCAGAAACCTCACTTGAATTAAGCTAAGCAGTGAACAGTGAAAAAGGACTGTTCTGATAAACTACAGTGTCTCAAGATCCATGACACCTCTCTACTTTATTTCAAGACAAGTAAAACATAACCTGGGATCCATAACACTGCATTCACCAAACACAACTGCAGACCTAGCTCAGCAAATCATCGGACCAAAAAACAAGCAGCAGCACTGCTGCTAGAGACTAAAAAAAACCCAATAGCTCTGTGGACCAGAGGTTCACTCAGAAAACACAGCTTTCCTGCCAAGCTTGCTGCTACTTCTCTTGGAATGAGTCACCTCCTCCCACAAAGACAAGTCTTGCAGATGAAGAAGGAAAAAAAAAAAACCCAAACCTAACACACACACATGCACGAAAAAAACCCAACCTCCAGCTAAACGTCCCAAATGCCTTACTAATAACCTACAAGAGTAAAAATTCTTAGAATGGCATAAAGTCCAACTCTATAAAAATATCTACGGACTCTTTCTGTGAGCCCGCTTTTTAGTTGTGTGACTCTTATTAGTAATAATTAGGCACTATTCCCATAGTTCAAGCAGAATGACCACAAGGCTAAAAAATGCTGATATTTTCAAAGAAGACTCTTTTGATTTAAGATGCTGTCCACTCACTCGCCTCATGTCTTTTATTAACAGAGAGGCTTTGAGGGAAAAAAAAAAAAATTTCCCCAGGCCCTCCCATTGCTATATTAGCCTCTCATTTGAAAAGATTTTGTATTCAAATACAAGATTTTTCTGCCGGGGACTGAATTACTTCTCTGATCACTGCCAGGAGCACGATCATGCAGCTAATGGAATAATGAGAACGGAAGAATTCAATTTCCGCTCCTGGAGTACTCTGCAATACTCCTCTCCCCCCACCCCCCGCCAGGTGTTCAATCATCGCTGGAGTCTCCTGTATGCTGCGGTTACAAGTTGGCAGTTTAAAGATGGAAGTACTTTATTTGAAATAGCATCAGCACGATTCCTTCAGCATCACCCAAAGTATGGAAGATACGACTCCACTCGGAAACATGTACCTGTTGAAAAATGAATGGTAAAGGGTAGGGGAAAGGGTATGAAGAGCAAAAAATGAACTTTTCTTCCTGCACAGCTGCGACACTGCACACTGCACGGCACTAAGGCAGCGGCTTGGAAAAATCCTAACGCAACACAACGGCTAAAAAGTGGTGTACGTATTTACGCCCGGAAAGTACTATCTTCTAACTTTCACACTTCTTTCACACTTTTTTCAAAGTCTGCATAACAGTCAGCATCCTAAAACTGGGTTGAGATAGCTGTTAAAGAGTTTTTAAAAGTCTGGGAACTTGAGAGCTAGCAATTGAAGAAAATCAGTGAATATTTTAGCAGATTGGATGTCATCTGTCACGAAATCTTATTTGGTATAGACTACATTTCTGGCAAACTTCAACCGCCTTAGAAGCAGAGCAGGGACTGAAAAGACAACTTGCTTTCTGTCCAATACAACTAACAGACTCCTAAATGAAGGGGTTACATAAACATGCTAATGAACTTTATTCAGACCAAAACACAGGGCAGGAAAGAACTAGCAGCACTTGTTTGCTGCTCAGTGCGGGATCACGACATATTCTGACATCCTGAAAGAGAATCCAGCTACGCAAAGCTCCTGCGTCGTTCCACACCTACGGCAGCGATACAAGCGGGGGCACTGAGCAGACGTTGCAGCTAAGCTTGTCTATTTGCCTTCTGCTCTTTGCAGGTTTAGCATGCCAGCAAATCACTGTTTGAACAGGCTGTGGCCATGCGAGAGCCTGATCCCACGCGGTGGCTTCCCAGCTGGTGCAGGGATGCTCCTCTCGGCAGCCCCTCACCACAGGTTAGCTGCAACATCAGGCGGCGCCCACCCCATGCCACTGCTAAGTCAGCCTCATCAGAGAAGGCTGTGAGGTTATTTTGGGATCTTTTCTCAAAGGACATGGACAAGGCAGGTGGCAGGTCTAAATACCAGGCAGAGTGCATGCACACTAGGAAGCCTATGGCACTGGGCTGCATAAGCTGCCCTAGCAGCTATTTTCCCTCTCCTTTGAGAGGCGAGCTAAGAGTCAGATAGAGCCGTCTTCTGTGCTGCTGCTCGGATCATGGGCTAGGAGAAGAGTCAGCAATCCATAGCACTACTACTGCTGTTACGAGTCCCTCACTACTATTTTCTCAACAGTGTTCATCAGATAGCGGCTGAAGGTATAAGATTTTCCAGGAAAGTTTGCTGATCACTTGAAGTGGACACGAGATGGTATTCCTAAACTCACTTGTTTTGTTTTGTCTCTTAATGTCGTTAGTGGTGACATGGCTTTATTTTATTATAAATTTTTATATTAACACTCCAAAAATTCTATCTAGTCCTGGATAGCCTAACATAGGGCAGCAGGTAAAGAGTGGAAGATGCAAACTTGAAGATTTAGGAGTTTAAAAAACGTCATTCTTATGCTGGAGCTCCAATATGTGTGTCAATGCACTGGTTTTCTAATTCCTAATCTCTTGAGGATGTCTGAGTGGTCCTGCACCATGTGCTTCCCTCTACACACCAACAGCTCCTTCTCTCCCCTATTCTTCTCCAAAGTGACAGGTCATTTATGCCTTCCAGTCACTTTGCAGTCTAAGATATGATGCTTCATTAAAACTGCACTAGAAACTAGAAAATTGCATCATCCAGCATATGCTTGAAGAAGCAAATATGCCTTGATGACTTGATATTATCACTGAGCTTTACCATGGGCTTGCTTCCCCTAATATGACCCTTCCTCCAGCAAAATTTCTTACACTGCCTTCTGGATTTGAGGGACCGCTAGTGCCTTTCATATATCATCTCCCTATATCTTCTGCCCTGACTTCAGAGATGCTGGAGGAGTTACCAGCTTTCGCACGCACCAGCACTACAGCCCTGAGGCCCTGGATGCACTGCATCTAAGCAGTCTGGATGGATTACACAAATGAAGTACACTCAGCAGTTCAGAGCGAGTGCTCTCTTCATTCCTCTTGCTTGGCTCTTCCTTAGCCTCAAGTACCCATCCTTGAATAAATCTGTGTGTATCTCATCAAACTGAAATACTGAGTCAGCTCCTTCTCAATGTATTTACCTCATGCTGTAAATAAATGAGAACTGCATAATGTAGAGAGATTCAGGGAAAACTGAGCGTGATCTTTAAGCGTACCTTTTTAAATCCCCCTTGGCGTGCTTTGAAAGGCAAACAGGAGGAGCCTTTAAGTTTTAAATAACCTCTTCTCTCTCTCCTAACTAAAAGATACACTGCTAGCAATAGCAATCTAAAACTGGACAAATAGTTTCCATGATACAAGCCCGACAAACAATGTACCACCTGTTCACTGCCCATCTGAACTTTGGACTGCACATCGTGATGCAATGTCCTTCTCCTCTTTCAGCTAGAAACGAAAGAAGAGGCAAAGAAGAGCCTGGCCCCAGACTCAGCAAACATCTCTGAAAACACTTCTAATCTGAGCACTTTTCTGCAGTATCCGAGTATTTTTCTTTCATACACTAGTAGGACTTCTCCTCTGTTCCACAGTCAGTCAGTCATACCCCAAGGAGAGAGCAGCTAGCTTCAGGCTGTGATTGTTTGTGACACCACATCAACTCCATTGACAACAGGAGGGTTGTGCTGGAGGTGTCCAAGTACCAGAGGCCAGGTTCTGCCACCCTTGCTCACACTGAGCAGAGTTATCTCACTCTGCAAGTAAGTACCTGGAAGTCAGTGAGGTTTTTCATAAAGTAAAACATAACTAGATGTGAATAAACGCAGAGGCGTCCAGCTCTCAGATTCCAGACGTGTTTACATAGGGGTAGTACTGCCTGCCCTGTTTTGAGGTGTCAAACTACACAGAAGATTCCTCCCTCTGTCAGACTAGGAGAGAGAACAAATCCTTCCTTAAAAACAAGTTGACACAAATACAGAATCTAACCAATTAATACAGTGTTAACTTTCATCTCTCTCTCGTTGTGCAAATGACTAGATATGCAGGCACTGACGGAAGACACTGTGGGATGGATGGGGTCACTTACAACAGCAGCCCTCCCTAGCCGCTTTCCTGCAACGTACCTATCTTATGTAACCACAAGGTCATAAAAGGATGCTGAACTGCCACAGAGTGCTCCTGATACAGATAAATAAATGCAAATTTGAGAGCTCTTCACTTTCTTCTTTGGTATTACATCAGCAGGATGTCAAACAGACAGTAACTACTAACAGGCTTCCCCAGTCATTAGATATTTATACTTGAATTTATCTGAACTGCACTGAAAAGAAAAAAGCCACTTATGCGTAACACACATACACACACAAAGATAGAATTTCTCATTTTTCTCACGGATTACATTATTTTAAAGTCACTCAATGCAATGGCTTCAAACTCCTTTCTAATTAAATATACATATACCTGAGTGCATCAATATATATACTAAACACATACATATACACATATACATATTAATACACACACACACCTGTGTGCATATTTATACACATACACATAAACAGTCACACAGATATGAATATAATTTAACAGGTTTCCTTTACTCATCACCTTTATTGACTATTAGAGTCATGAAGAAGGTATATTTGCCTAGTCGTTTGTTCCAGTACTTTTAAAGGCAGACAAGACATTAATGATACCTGAGGTCATGATGCAT